ACTTTTTCCTGATGTCTTTTGTTAGATAGAAACATTAAATCTTGATATTGCACGGTCTTTTCTTCTATGGTGTCTGGGTTTTCTGTTTCAATGTAAAATGTTCCTCCAATCCTGAGGTTATTCGAATTGTCTCCTTTTTCTTCTCACACGGTTGACAGGTTGCTTGTTTACATGGAAATCTTTAAGCCCCCTCTAGGGAGAGTTGACATTTTTACAGTAGGTACATATTTCATCAAGGTGCTCGGTACGTCCAACCATGGTTCAAGTCTGGTTTTAAACTGCTGAGTAAAATTGTATACATCTCATAGAGCATGTACATTTCGTGTTAAGTTTCTTCCTAGACGTCAGATAGTCTTGTCACATTTGTGACTGAAAATATTCCCGACTTCTATTTTTCTATTTCTAGTCACGTGTGTGTGTTTTAAGTAATTGGTCTCTGTGTAGTGTCTTAATCTGTTCAGGCAGCTGTAACACAGTACCGCAGGCTAGGCAGCTTAGAACAACGGAAATTTATTTGCTCACAGTTCTGGAGGCTAAGTCCAAGATCAAGATGCCCGCTGCCTCAGTCCCGGCGAGGGCCCTCCCCTGGTTTGCAGGGCCTGCCTTCCCGCCATGGGCCTGCCTGCTGGGGGCTGCAAGCTCTGGCGTTTTCTTCTTACAAGGGCGCTGATCCTGCTGTGGGGCCCCACCCCCCCAGCCTCACCTAAGCCTAACCATCCCCCCAACCTTCCCTCCAAACACTGTCACATTGGGGGCAGGGCCTCAACATATGAAGGGGGAGCACAGTTCCATCCCTAACAGTTAGCTTAAAACTAGCTATCTTACCAAATTCTCTAATCAGTTCTGATAGTTCTTTTGGCTGATATTCTTGGGATTTCAAATTATGCAATCATGTCACCTGAGTATAAAGAAAATTTTGTCTCCTCTCCCTAAGATTTTGTTTCCCTGCATTATTATTATTATTATTATTATTATTATTTTATTATTTCCTTAACTGAGAACTACAAAACCACGCAGAATAGTGATAGTAGCAGACGTTCATATCTTGTTCCTGATTTAAATGTGGACGGTTTTAAGATTTCAATATGTAATATACTCATTGTCTGCATTTGATACATTGTCTTTATCAAACTGGGGGGTTCCCTTCCGTTTCTGTTGTACTTAGAATCTCTTATAGAATAGTGGCTGAACTGTTCAGATGTGTTGGGGGCCTATGGAGATTCCCGCACGGCTTCCCCTCTGTAAATCTGAGATCACCTTGGCTGGTGGGTTCCTGATGTGAGGCCTACCCGGTCAGGCAGATTATGCATTAGCACACTGCTGGATCTGATTTCCTGTTATTTATATTCCAGTGGTGTACCTGTGTTGTGTTGGGACACTTTTGGCTCAAGCATCAGAAAGCCCACCTTGGAGTGACTGGCATGGAGAGGAGACTGGTTATACCAGCAAGCCAGAAGCCAGAGGAGGAGAAGGGCCAGGATTCCCCGCCACCCTCAGTATGTCTGTGCTTTCTCCCTCGTCGCAAGATGACCACATAGTTCTTGGTGTTGCGCCCGATAATGACAGCATCCAAAGGGGGGGGGGCACGGTCTCCTCCCATGGGGCTCTCCCAAGCGTACCCTGAAGACTCCTCTCTTTTTTTTTAAAGATTTTTATTTATTTATTTGACTGAGAGAGACACGGCGAGAGCGGGAACACAAGCAGGGGAGTGGGAGAGGGAGAAGCAGACTCCCCGCCGAGCAGGGAGCCCGATGCGGGGCTCGATCCCAGGACCCTGGGATCATGACCTGAGCCAAAGGCAGACGCTTAACCGACTGAGCCACCCAGGCGCCCGAAGACTCCTCTCTTGACCCACTACATCCTCAGCCTCTGGGTGCAGATCAGTCCCTGGCGGAAGGCCTGCGGGGACCTCTGTAGATCACCGTGTCCTACAGGCGTCTGGGCAGTGAGTCTGTGTGTTGTGCCCAGGCATTGCAGTCCACTTAATGGCCCCGGCCTCTGACAGCACCCCGTCCCCATGGCCCCAGCTCCCTCTGGTTATACAGCAGCAGTCTACACCTTCTGGGGCTGAGTCTGGCCATCCTTCCTTGGAGGATGTGGCTTCACAAAGGACGTGGTCCCAGGAGCCAAATGAGACTACTGACGGGGGGGGGCAAGTGGATGGGGCCAGGCCACCCGCAAAGTCTGCAGCTTATGTTTGTTGATGGGAGCGATCCACGGCGTCTTGGGCCCTCTCTTCATCAGACCTGGCAAGTTAGCCTGGCGAGCTGGGTCGAGGACCAGCACCCCTTTGGTAACTTGGCCTGTTTGACTAGCGGGCAAAGCATGTGTTCCCGGCCAACTGGAGAGACTCGCCGCGTGCCTGTGAGAGTCCGGAGTCCCTTTCAGCCGTTCGGTCCATGGCTACTGGTCTGCTCCTGTCTTCTCCACTCTCTTGGGTCAACTTTAATCATTTAAGTCTTGATACAGAATCAACCATTTTCTCTACATCTTCCAGTTTACATTCATAATGCTTCCTGAGTCTGTAGAATCTCCCCGTGGCTTGCTCAATCCTCTTTTTCCTTAACATGGTGTATTTGTATCTTCCCTCTGAGACAGCCGCTACTCACGGTCACCCCAAACACATTCTTGTCTTCCCAGCTGACAGGAAGGAATCAGGGGGAATGTTGTGCTTTCCTCTCTGACACTTCTTTTCTCTTTTTCCTCCCTGAAACACAGAAATGAGGCCTGAGGAGAAGGAACCGGTCTCTATTACGAGGTGGGAAGCACAGGACAGGAGCCTGGGAGTGGGTACCCTGGGGCCACACGGCCTCCACCACCCACTTCTAAATGGTGGCCTGGGGACAAATAATAAACATCTCACTCCCTGTGGCTAAATTAGCCCCCAATGCCAATGCCTGGGCACAACACACAGACTCACTGCCCGGACGCCTGTAGGACACGGTGATCTACAGAGGTCCCCGCAGGCCTTCCGCAAGGGACTGATCTGCACCCAGAGTCCGGATCTCATGCAGTCAGAGGCCAGTCCTAGTTGATACAATCTCTTTTTTCACTCTCAAGGATTTATCAACTTTGTTTTTTCCCACTCAGCTTTTTTGCTATATGACTGATGCCAACTTTTAATCTTTAGTAATTTCCTCTTTGTACTTTCTTTTGATTTGGTGAAATTGTCATATATACACATATATGTATACACACACCTACGTATAGGCAGTAAACTCATCTAAGTTTACAGAATTGCCTTTGGTTTATTCCATACGTCTTATATAATGTTATTTACTTTCCAGTTATGTTTTAGGTATAGTTTGTGTTTCTTTCAATTCAAACCTTATTTTAGAAATATCTCCTCACTTCCAAATGGTTATATTTTCTGTTGCCAATTTCTAAACATTCACTCTCTAAAAAACAAGCTTTGGGATGGCTTTATTATTGAAGGTGCCCAGGTTCACCAACCACATACTTCTGCAAGAACTGCTTAGCAAAGCAGCAACCTCCCCCAGCCCGGCTGCCCCTCCCCAGGGGCAACCCCCTGTGACTCCTGGAGTTGGTGGGTTGTGGTATTGAATCCCACAGTTCTGAACAACATGCTTCTGCTTATGGAGCGCTGTTTCCTAATTTCGGGGTCACTCATTGACAGCCTCAGGAGGATGACGTGTCAGCATCTCTCCACCTCTCCCCTCCACTTGCCCTGTCTCCCTCCACCTTCACCTCTCCCCTCCTCCTAATAGAATCAAGTGATAATTGCCCTGAGGTCAAGATGCCAGGAGGACATCTGATTACATTATTACGGCTATGAAAAGGAATGCACAGCTGAGTCAGGTAATATTCTGTGATTACTTTTTATTTTCCCTGTCTTGTTTTGTTACTACTGTTGTGTCCGATGTTGTGTCCAGGGCAGGCCAGGAAGCTTAGCTTACAGGGTTTAGCTCCGCGGACTGCAGGCCTCCGCGTGCATGTGGCAGGCGAGCGAGCCCCTGGCTCAGCACCGTGACACCGCAGGGACCCAGGCCGGTGGTTAGGATGGGAAGGCTGGAACTTCAGACGAATCTGATGAACATTGGCGTGGTTACTGCTTATGCACTGCTGTTTCTGCCCCTACAAAAGGTGTGTCGTTGGGTGAGGCGAGCCCCGCAGGAAATCTGAGTGTGTTCCGGAGCCACCCGGGACCCAGGGAAGTTATGGAGGGACCCGCGTGGAGGTCCATTGCTGGGACAGCCCTGCAGGGAGCGCAGGCTCTGGACAGAGTCTGATTCTGGAAGCAGGCCAGTTCTGCTGGCCAGGCTGGTCCTGGAGGCCAGGATGGTTCTACAAGTTGTTTGTGGAAAACGACTCTGCAAGCAGATTGCCGGGTCGGAAGCAAGGTTCTGGAAGCGAGTTCTGCCGGCGTGACAGTGGACCGCTCAGACGACACCCGGCCTGGGTCAGGGCCGAGCCTGGGTCTGCGAGCGAAGAGAGCGGGCATTGACGAAGGACTCGCACCAGCGCTCGCTCTAACACACCCGTTAAAAACCCCATTGCGAACATTTCTTCGGACAAGCTCCTGGGAGGGCCCTGTTGCCTGGGGGGGTGGGACCCAACGGCGCGGTGCAAGCTCGTGGAGTCGGCTCACGGAGCCGAGCACGCAAGCGCCGGGAAGGTCGGGCTGGCTGCGTTTGGGAGTTGCTTTTTTTCCTTTTTCTCTAACTTTCTTTTTTCTGTAGCTTTTCCGCACGCTGAGCGGACGCCGCGGCGCATGCGCAGTCTGCGCCCCGCCCGGCCGCGCGGCGTCGGGCCGGGCGGTTGCCAGGGACGACCGCATTCCCTTGGGACTCCTCGGTCGCGTGGGCGGGGCCTGGCCGACCCAAGCCCGCCTTCCTCGCGCTCTGGTTGGCTCTGGCTGCTGTTCGTTGGAGCCGTCGCGGCCGCCGATTGGGCAAAGACAAGTTTCGCACGCTCGGCTCGGCGCCACGCCCCTTCAGCCGGCCCGCGGCCGCCACCCGGGAGAGAACAGCGGGGGACCCGGCGCGGCGCCCGGGAGGGACCTGCGTCGGCCTCGGCTTCCAGGCGGGCACGGCCCGAGCGGCGGGCGGCGATGATCCCCGAGGAGAGGCCGGACGGCCCGGGAGCCGGCGAGGAGAGCGCGAGGCTGCAGGAGGCAGGCAGCGTTCGCAAGGTGGGCGCGTCCGCGGGGGCGGGGGTCTCCGGGAGGAGGGGTCCGGGACCCCCAGCCCGCTTTTGCCCGCCACCTGCCGCTGGCGGGCGCGGGGCTGCGGAGTCGGCGCTGGCTTCTCAGGTCTAAGCGTGCGGCAAGACTTCTGGCAGCCCCCCGCTTCACTCGCCCCTAGAGGCAAGCCGGGCTTACCTCTGGGGAAACTGAGGCTCGGTGCAGAGCCCGACCCCGCGTTGCGTGCCTGTGCTGGGCTTCTCTCTTGCGGGTTTGGGGCTCATCCTGTGCCGTCCAGGAATGGGTGGGAGCGCAAGTATAGCTCCGTTTTCTCCGCCGCTCCGGGGGGCGCTCCGGGGCCCCGTTCTAGGGCAGGTGTTGGGCTCTGGTGTGTGACAGCCCGTGGCCCTCGTGCTAGTTCCCGGAGCCCGTCATTCCTCCTTTCCCAGCTTTTCCCTCCCTGTCCCCAGAGCTGCTCAGTTTTGCCCTGGGCACCTGGCTCTGTATTTGATGAAACTTTCCGCCGCAGGCAGGCAGGCAGCTGGAGCCTCCCGGGAACAGGAAATGGCTGCAGGACTTCACAGCTGGGCAGTTTGTCCTTTTTTCACTCCCCACGCACCTCCTCCCCCTCTGAGGTCCCTAACCCTGGGGCGCCGACTAGGACTGTGGACCATTTCCAGGAGTACTGGGGAGGCTCTGCATAGGGCGGGGGGAGGTGGAGACCTGGGGAGTCTGTGCTGGGAAGGAGGGGGCTGCCCCTCTCTGCAGCCTGGAGCTTAGGCGTTCCCTGGGGGTCACCAAGAGGCCAACCCCGTGTTCATACCAGGCCCACGAGGGGTGCTACAGGGTTCAGAGTAGCTTCTGGCTCGGAGACTGCAGGTCTCCCCCTTCCAGCACATCTCTCCAGGAGCACTGGACATCGGAGACCAGATGAACGGTGTTGATGAAGACAGCCCTGCTCAGCTGATGTTCTCTGCCCAGCACATGGACCACCCCCCTCCCCGGGCAGATGGACATGGCTGCTGGCCCAGAGCCTGCTGGAGCTTTGCAGTTGGACCTCCGGAAGGGAGAGACGTAGCTTCGGCTGTGGCCTGCTCCTCCCTCCCCAGGTTCTCAGGCCTCCTGGAGGGGACACTGCCCAGGGAGGTCTTCCCTGATTGATCTCTCTTGAGAACGCTGGAGTTTGGGGGAGATGTTGAGTCATAATCGAAGGTGGCCATGCCCCAGGAGCCTTCAATGTGGGAGGGTGTGAGGGCTTCTTTAAGGTGCCCTCTTCGAGGGACTGGGACAAGATCTAGCCCCCAAAGGGTCTGAAACTTCCCTGTGCCTGAGAGTGGTGGGGGCGCACGCCAAGGAAAATAGACCACATTTCCTCCAATATGTGGAAGATGGTGGACACTGCAGGAGCCTGGCCTCAGCACTGTGTGAGGACAACTTCCTGTCCCTGCATCAGGACAGGGAGACACTGGCCTCATCCCCACTGTGTGACCATCTTTGGGGATGTTGCCCAGGGAAGGTGCATTCTGAGAAGTTCTTCCTGGCTCCAGGGCTGGTGACTGTCCCAAACAGAAGGTCCCTAAATGGCCAGGAGGAGGCGTGGGGGCCTGGGGCCCGAGAGCTGCTCCAGCTCCCGGGCCTTGTTCCTACCGAAGCCCCTCACCTCCCCTGGCTGGAGCCTCCAGTCACCCACCTGCAACATCACTGTAGCTAGGGGCCCTCACATCTCTGCTTTCACTGCCACATGGCTCTCCTACCCCGGGGCCCCGAGATGTGGGCAGCTAGCAGGATTGCCCCATACAATGAGGAACCATGGCTGAGGTGGGCAGTGGGCAGTCAGAGCGCCTGACCTGCTGCCTATGAGCTGAGCGGACCTGGGCCTATGGTTTGAGCATTTGCCCAAAGGGACCCCACAAGTAAATAGCTAGCTGGGATGGAGCCCATCCCAGGGTCAACGTGGGCCGAGCACCCCAGAACATCCAGCACCCTGTAGGCAGGCTCCTTTCCGTTAGCACCTTGGCAAAAGCTGGGCTAGGTCATCCCCGCATGGCCATGCCTAAGCTCATGCTAGAATTGTGTGGGTTGAGTGGATTATGGGGGTTATGGAATGAAATTCAAAAGTGCAGAAGGGGGGCGTCTGGGTGACTCAGTTGCTTAAGCGCCCAACTCTTGATTTCAGCTCAGGTCATGATCTCAGGGTCGTGAGATCAAGTCCTGCTTCAGGCTCTACACTCAGCAGGGAGTCTGCTTGAGATTTTCTCTCCCTTCCTCTGCCCCTTCCCCCCCACCATGCGTGCGTGCAAGCACTCTCTTTCTCTCTCTCTCAAATAAATATTTGTTAAAAAGATTTTACTTGAGAGGGAGAGCATGTGCACAAGCCGGGGGAGCAGCAGAGGGAGAGGGAGAAGCAGGTTCTCCACTGAGCAGGGAGCCCGATGTGGGGCTCGATCCCAGGACCCTGGGATCGTGACCTGAGCCAAAGGCAGACGCTTCACCAACTGAGCCACCCAGGTGTCCCAATAAATAAATCTTTTTTAAAAAAGTGCAAAAGGCTGTGTGGTGAGCAGTTGGCCACCTCCTGCCCGGGGCTCCCAGAGCCCCATCGCACTGGTGCCGGCCCCACAGAATGGGGGCCACAGTCCCAGCCATGTCCCCCACCTGCTATGCTCTTCCTGGCCGTCTCCCCTCCTGTGCTCGCGCACCCAGCTAGGCCTGAGCTGCCCCGCTGCTCTCTGTGGAGCTGGCTCAGGTTCCACTGTGGGGACCGCGCCTTCCCCACCCGCGAGAGTCTCCTGGCACTTGGGAGCTGTTGGCAGAGGCCTGGCCCGGGCCCTGTGACCTGCAGCCTCTCCACAGGGCTCTGACCCCCTGGCCCAGACACCACGTGGCCGCCCGCAGAGCCGCAGGGCCCGGGTCCACCAGCAGATCACCAAGGAGCTGCGGATGCGAACGGGTGCTGAGAACCTCTATAGGTGAGTGCCGGTGGCCACCCCCATCCCTCAGGAGAGTGGTGCCACTGTCCCCTGAGGCCCTCTGCAAGGCCGGCCCGTGCTGTGACCCAGGTCGGTGCCCGTTCTTGTGGTCTGGTTTGGGAGAGGGACACGTGAGCGGCCATTGCAGGCTCCCAGGAGGAGGGGCTGGGCCTCTCACCGGGCTCTGGGGCAGCGTTCAACTGAAACCCTCACAGACCACCCGGGCTCCTACCTTGGTGGACCTCACTGGTAGGGGTCAGCTCAGGGTCAGCCAAGGGCCATGTGGGGCTGGAGGGGGCTGGTGTGCGGTGTGGGAGCCTCTGATTTGTATGTGGTGACCTGCAGGCACCGTTTAGGTTGAGCTGTGACAGGTGTCTCAAGATTGGGGACCCGGGAAAGTGTCCTCCGGGCTGAAGGGATGCCTCTCTGTTAGAACAGTGAGCTGCACATCTGCTCAGACCTTCACCCATGTCTCCATGAGCCCACTCTGTGGGTGATGGCCCAGGAAGATGGTCCGACCTGTCAGAGCCCCAGCCACTGTGTGCAGAGCCAGCCGACGGGTTCTGGGATGGGGGTCTGCTGGGCCCAAGGGGCTCCTCCATTTCCTTAGCCATCCTGCATCCCTGTCCAGCCCAACCCTGCTCTCAGCCTGGCCTTCCTGGGGACCCATCGCCCCTTCTGTCAGGTGCCCAGATGTAGGCACAGAGAGGGTCTGACCCCCACCTTTCCAGGAAAGCTGGTTTTGTGTTGCTCTGGAGGCCTGTGTCCAGGGAGAGCGGTGGTGGGAGGCGAGTGACCGTGGCCTGGAAGGTCTGGGTCTGGGTTGATGTGCCCTGGGCCAGAGGCACCGTCTGTATGCGTGGACAGGAATCGACACCAACTGTAGGGGGACTCAGAGGAGAAGAGGGACGTCACAGGGTGGGCCCTGGGCCCCAGTGCTGCCCCCCACGGGGGCTGGGCCTGTGAGCACAGCATGCTGGGAGGGGCCTCTGGAGCCCAGGCCAGGGCAAGGGCTGTGGCGAGGCCCAGGTACGTGCAGTCTGCCTGCAGCGCTGGGGCTTCAACTCACCTTGGCCTCCCCCAGAGCCACCAGCAACGCCTGGGTCAGGGAGACAGTGGCCCTGGAGCTGAGCTACGTCAACTCCAGCCTGCAGTTGCTGAAGGAGGAGCTGGAGGAGCTCAACGGCAGCAGCGTGGAGGCTGACCGGCCCGAGGGGTGCGTGTGCGCGTGCACGTGTGTGCGTGTGGGACCGTGGAATCCGGGTCAGAGGCTGAGTGGGTGCACGCGTGTGAGGACACCATCCAGAGCAGCGTCTGTGTGCTGTGGGCTGTGTGTGCAAGACGCGTATCCGAGTCGGAGGAAAGGGGTTATGTGTAGGTGGGGAAGTAGGGAGTGGCCCTGGGGACAGCAGGGTCCAACCTCAGAGTCTGGGCTCCGTGGCTCTGGTTCCAGCGAAGGTATCACTGTCCCTATGATCCCCCTGGGGCTGAAGGAGACCAAGGAGCTGGACTGGTCCACACCGCTGAAGGTAAGTGCTGACCTATGACCCTGGGGTCACACCCTGCCCTGGGGTCTGCAGGGATCTTGGAGGCTTCCCGGTCCAGCCATTTCATTGAACAGATGAGGAAAGGGGCCCAGAGGGAGGAAGAGCCTGCCTGGCTATAGGAGCTTCTGGTTGGGTGGACTTTGGAGAAGAGCCCCCACCGTGGGGTAGGCTGGCAGAGCTGGTCATCCTGCTGGAAGCCTGAGATGGCGACAGGGTTCCCAGGGTTCCCTGACCCTCGCTCTGAGAATCCCACCGGCTGGGGGCCCCTGCAGTGCTGCGGACATCTCCTTGGGGTTCGTGAGCTAGGCTGCCTGGGGACGGCTGCCCAGCAGGCACCTCGCCTGTCAGGTCGCAGAGAGCACCTGCTTTACAGGGGTTAGGGGGGTCTTCTGCACCCCTGGACCCCATGTCTGCGGGTCAGGGACCTCCCTACCCCACCCCACACCAGTCCTTAGCCCTTCTCCAGGGGCCCGGGGCTTCCCTTCCGGTCCCTGTCTTTGCCTGCGTGGGGCTGGGTGACCAGAGAAGGCCGGCACCTGCCCCTCCCCCAACCAGGAGCTGATCTCTGGGCACTTTGGAGAGGACAGTGCCTCCTATGAGGCTGAAATCAAGGAGCTGGGAGACCTGCGGCAGGTGGGTGGACTCCCCTCCCCTCCCCTCCCTGCCCTGCCACACCTGGGAGACCAGCCACTCCCAGTTCACAAATAAGGGCAACCGAGGCTCAGTCAGGAACAGAAAAAAGGAGCCGAGCATAGGCCTTCAGAGGGCGGGAGGCCCCACCCGGGGCAGCTCTGGGGACAGCGGAGAGACGGGCACACACGCAGGGCACGCGACGGCTCTGTGCATGCTAGGGAAGCTCTGTCCTCACCACCTTCTGCGGGCTCTTTGGGAATGGCTGCTGTGGGCCGATCCCCTCCCAGGGGCCCTGCCTGGGCCTCTCCCTGTGCTCTTCACAGGCTCCATGCCCAGGATGGGGCCCACGACAGCCCCAGAGACGGCCGATGTGCGTCAGCGTGACCTTGTCTCGCCCCAGACCCTGGAGCGCTCCTGTGGGGCTCTGACGTCCAAGGGGGCTCCCTGAGGGGTGGGGGTGTGTGCCATGGGCTGGGCCTGGGGTGCTGGGGCCCAGCTGGTGCCTACCCTGCAGGCCATTCGGACCCCCAGCCGGAGTGAGGCGGGCCTGGAGCTGCTCATGGCCTACTACACCCAGCTCTGCTTCCTGGACGCGCGCTTCGTTGCCCCTCCCGGGAACCTCGGGCTACTCTTCCACTGGTAGGGGGTGTCCGTGGTTCCACCCACAGCTCCCCAGAGCCCTTTCTGAGACTCCCGGCTGCTTGCTGTGGGAGCGCCACCCAGCCTAACCCAACCCACAGGTACGACTCGCTCACGGGTGTCCCGGCCCAGCAGCGGGCCCTGGCCTTCGAGAAGGGCAGTGTGCTTTTCAACATCGGGGCCCTCCACACCCAGATCGGGGCTCGCCAGGACCGCTCCTGCCCCGAGGGCACCAGGCGCGCCGTGGAGGCCTTTCAGAAGGCTGCTGGTGAGGGCCGCCCAGACCCCACAGCCGCAGTTAGGGTGCATGCATCTGCATGTCTGGGGCCAGAGCTGGGGCGGGGCCGGTGGGATGGCTCCCAGTGTGAGGGGATCCCCCTTCCTGGGGAATGCGGGGCTGTGGGGGTGCGGCCGGGCCGCCCTGCCCACCTGCTGTGAGCGCCCCTCTGCAGGGGCCTTCAGCCTCCTGAGGGAGAACTTTTCCCGAGCACCCAGCCCTGACATGAGCCCGGCCTCGCTCTGCATGCTGGAGGGACTCATGACTGCCCAGGCCCAAGAGTGCATCTTTGAGGGTCTCTTGCTGCCGTCTCCTGAAGCCCCCCAGGATTGCCGGGCCCAGCTACGCCTGGCTCAGGAGGCAGCCCAGGTGAGGACAGGGAGCGCTTGTCCCACGGGAGACCTGGCCAAGCCATGGTGGCTGGGTGAGCAGGAGGGCCTGGATCGGAGGTCCATGCAGGGAGGGGTGGGGTGCAGTGGCTGGGTCTCCTGGTAGTTCTCAAAGCCAGCTGTTGTCCTGGTCTCTGGGGCTGGTCCTGAGTCCTTGCCACTGGGGCAGCACCAATCAGAGCAGAAACGGGCCCAGAGCCCTGAGCTTGGCTGAGCGCAGGGTTTGGGTCGGGGCCCCTGGGCCTTGGGTCGGGGCAGCTAGAGGCCAGGCCCCAGTGGGGAAGGGCAGGGGCTGAGGCTGCTGGGCTCATCCTGGAGACCTCAGTGTCCCACCACGTGCGCTGGCAGGTGGCAGCTGAGTACAGGCAGGTGCACCGGACCATGACCCAGCCACCTGTCCGAGACTACGTGCCCTTCCCCTGGACCACCCTGGTGCACGTCAAGGCGGAGTACTTCTGCGCCCTGGCCCACTACCACGCGGCCGTGGCCCTCTGCGACAGCCCCCGTGAGTGCCCTGGCCCGCCCGTGCTGGCACAGGCCCTGGCGTGGAGGGGCTCACGGCCCTCTCTGACCCCAGCAGCAGCCGAGGAGGACTCCCCAGTGCTGCCGCAGGCCTTCCTTGGGCCCCCGGCCACGTCGGAGGCGCGGGGCGCCGTGCTGCCTCAGGAGCAGGAGGAGCGCAGGAATCTGGGTGAGGCGGCCGCGTGGGGAGGGTGCCTGCTGAGGGGGACGGAGCGCCCCCGTCCTTCGCAAGGCGGTAGCCTGGGCGTGTGCGGGCGCTCCCGGGATGCAGCCCTTCCCTGGCCCAGCCTTCCACACGTGGCCGCTCCTCGTAGCGCGGCCAGCAGGCCCTCACCTGTCCAGGGGTGGGGGAAGCGGGGGTTTGGCCCGGGCCAGGTGGGCTTAGGGCCCTGCGCCCCACGAAGCACAGGACGCCACGTCCCCGCTCCGTCCCGCGCAGGCAAGGCCCACCTGAAGCGCAGCATCCTGGGCCAGGAGGAGGCGCTGCGGCTGCATGCCGTGTGCCGGGCCCTGCGCAGAGTGGACCTGCTGCATGCTGTGCTGGCCCAGGCGCTGCAGCGTTCGCTGGCCAAGTACTCGGAGCTCGACCGCGAGGACGACTTCTTGGAGACCGCCGAGGCTCCTGACATCCAGCGTGAGCTGCCCGGCCCCTCGGGACGCGTGTGTCCAGCCTGCGGGCGTCCGTGGGCTGAGGCCCCGTCGCTGCCCTTAAAGCCCATGGAGCCGTGGGCCTTGAAGGAGCCGAGCCCCTGGGAGGAGCCCAGTGGGCCTGCTCCCTTGCTGTTCCCTGTCTCGCCATCCCTGAGGCCGGTTCCCGCCCCGGGAGGCTGCCAGCCGTGGCCTGGGAGGCAGATTTCCACAGGCCAGCCACCCGGCATCCCCTGCTTTGCAGGAGCTGGCAGGGGTGGCTGGAGAGGGGGCCCTCCCGGGGTGGGGGGCGCACCCAGGCCCCAGAGGGCTGCAGGGGGGCCGGTATGCATCGAGCAGGCTGTTCCTTGGGCCACACACTCTGCTCTGGCTGACCCGGGTCCTGGCTGCATCTGGGGGCCTGAGCATCCGTGAGCCTCAGGCTTAGGTCTGTCCTCCCTTTACCTTTGTCCTTTCAGCTAAAACACAGCAGAAGCCAGAGATCAGGGCGCCCAGCTTCTCCAGGGTGAAGGTGACCGATATCTTCCAGCGGCTGGTGAGCAGCCCCTGCCCAGGTCACCCTCCCCACCTCAGCACAGGCGGGCTGAGGCAGGTGGCCCAGCCCTGCCCAGTCCCTTTGCGGCACCTGGTTTCTGACCCCAGCGGCAGCTGATCCCCCTTCGCCCCCCCCAGGGGCCCCTGTCAGTGTTTTCGGCCAAGAACCACTGGCGGCTGGCCGGGCCTGTGCGCGTGACCCGTGGAGAGGCCGGCTTTGGGCTCACGCTGCGCGGAGACGCGCCTGTCCTCGTTGCTGCTGTCATCCCCGGGGGCCCGGCCGCGGTAAGGCCCCTGCCCCACCCCGGGGCAGCTTTCATGAAGGGGGCAGCGGGGCCCCTGGGCAGAGGTGGCGGGTGCCCCCACGGGACTCCCAGACCTCCCCTGTCTCCCTGCAGGCAGCCGGCCTGCAGGAGGGCGACTACATCGTGTCCCTGAACGGGCAGCCCTGCAAGTGGTGGAGGCACGCCGAGGTGGTGGCGCAGCTGAAGGGCGTGGGTAACGAGGGTGTGAGCCTGCAGGTGGTCACGCTGCTGCCCCGGGCGGAGCCCCCTGGCACGGTGAGCCTGCGGGGCCCCAACATCCCCAGATGCCCAGAGGGCGTGGGGAAGAGGAGGCTGCATGCACCTGGACGACCCCCGCAGGGGTGGCTTCCTGGGCGGCAGCCGCCTGCCCCGTGGCCCCCCCCCACCCTGGCAGCGGCCCCTGCCCTCCGCGGGCCTCTGTGTGCCCACGCCCCTGGACGCTTGGGGTCGAGGCGCTGCTGCAAGAGCTGTTTCATGGCCGTCACCCACCCCGACGTGGCACCCAGTCCTCACGGGACCCCCGGCTCGCCCCTGACGGGCCGGCCACCACCTCCCTGGTCACTCCCCGGCTGGCCACGGGTGCTGACTGACTCCTTTCTATCCCGGCTGCAGGGGCACCACCGGCCAGCCCTGGGAGGGCTTCTGAGGATCCAGAAGGAGTGTGGGTGGGGGACACCAGCTCCTGCACGAGCCAGCCCCAGGCGCTTCCTTGGCTGGAGCCGCAAGGCCAAGAGGGGCAAGACCACAGGGAGGCTGTCCCCTCAGCCCTGAGCTGCGTGCCACCCTCCCCCTCTGGGATCCCAGCGCCCCCACACCCACAGTACGTCCTCCTCCGTCCTGAGGCACTTTCAGGCCAGTTGGCTGCCCCCCACCCCGTGCCCAGAGCTGCCCATTAAAGACCACGTCACATGAGGTGTGTGTGAGCCCAGTGCTGTGGCCGGGCGCTGTAGCCACACCCAGGAAGTGTCACAGGTGCCCTGGGCACCGGGTCCCAGATGCCAGAATGCTGCCTCGGGGCTGCCCAGGCCTAACACACGCCCCAAGTGCCCACCTGGGGAGGGCAGCCCCCCAGCTGAAGGGGCAGGGTCGGGTAGTATGTTAGCAGTGGGCCCCTGCAGCCCACATCCTCC